GATGCTCAACCACTGAGCCACACCAGTTGGGCCAAATTCTGTGTGTTTGACCACACATATGTATCTCTAAATAAACGCGTAGTCATGTTAATTAAAACCATAACCAATTGTTAATACAGTAGGTCGTTGGGTTACGTCAGAGATCCATTCCTACGGCACGACTTAACATGATTTTCGCTGTAAGTGGGAACCCACCTACATAAGCACCTACGTCACTCACATGGAGCACATACACAGCAGTAATGAAGTGAAACAGTAAAAAACATTTAAAAGAAAGATAACAATTCCTGACCTTTACTTGTGGCAAATAAATAATAAAAAACATAAAGCACATATGTATAAACATTGAAACTTTTTTCTTTTTACAAATAAATGGGAGATGGTGACATAACCCTGAAACGACTACATCGAGTCCACTGTAACCTGAGGACTGTTGTATTTATTATCTCTCATAAAGCAAATGAACTAAATTCTGATAGTTTTACAATATCCCATATTTGTGTAGGTCTTTTAAAATTCTTAAGTACTTTAGTACATTACTATTTTTTTTAAATTTATTTTTATATTTTTGTTAATACTCACCCAAGGATATTTTTTCATTATTTCTAGAGAGAGTGGAAAGATGGGGGAGAGACAGCGAGAGAGAAACATCGATGTGAGAGATATGTATTGGTTGCCTCACGCACACGCCTGGCCCTGCACTGAGCCAAACCGGCCAGGGCAGTACATTACTATTTTTGATCCTTATATCAACTGCATGAAATATATAAGGATCTTACTCTATTTTTTATTTTTTTAGATGTGTAAATAAAGGAAATTAAATAACATGTCCAAGATAACAGGCATAAGAGCAGATTCATAGATTTTAACTATTTCTTTAGACTTCAAAGCAGTTAGTTAAAAAAAAAAAAAGGAATAAACTACATTAAGACTTGGGACCAGAGTAAAATGTCATCATTTAAGGAAGCTTGTGGCTGACAATCTCCTAGAACAAGGCATGGACAAATAAAAGGGCCTCTGGGATATCTGCTGGGAAGGTGTTTAATGCAATAAGATGACACCATACTGGGGGGTGTGTAGGCACAGTTTTCAAGGGAAAAGCAAAAGACACAGATGGAGAAAAAAACCTGCCTAATAGTAGAAGAGAAATGATTGGGCACATCTGCTTTGACTTCTGTACAGTTTAATCCCAGCCTCCTACCTCACTGTCTCTAACCCTTCTCACTATTTGAAGTCACATCCACATTTTTCCCCTTTCAGATTCTGGCATCCAGGTGAACCAAATTATCATTGGGAGCGCTGTGTTGTTATGATACATAAACATTCACCAAGCTCGTGGGGCTGGAATGATGTTACTTGTGAGGTATCTCTCAGGTCAATTTGCAAGATGATGAAGATCCACTTATGAGTGGGAAATTCTCCATGAACATGCGGTTGAATTAGTAGCCACCAATAAAGAGTTAAATAATTTTCTTTTTAGAATTCGTGTGTAAGCTTGTGTAAGTGATCTCCAGAGAATTTTCCAATAGGCTGTTACCTATTCAACTTATCTACACTAATAAAAGAGAAACATGGTAATTAGCGTACGACCGCTACCCTTCCCATTGGCTAATCAGCATATCCTTATGCAAATTAACTGTCAGCCAAGATGGCGGCCGGCAGCCATGCACTGAAGCGAACAGGGAGGCTTGCTTGCTCCAGTGACGGCGGACTCCAAC